AATTACGTACATACAGAAGAGGGGCTGAGAAAATAACAAAACACAGTGTCGCTATTGGTCAGTCTGTAAATACACTCACTACTGTTAAGTGCCTTTTCAGATATGAAACATTCAGCACAAGAAGGGAGCCAAAACATTATTCTCTCGAAAGAGTTGTACGTGAATGATGAATCATCCTGAAAGGCATGCAGGGTGTTCAGACCTAAGCATAATTAGCTGTATTTTAGATGGTAAACCTCAAGTGTATCGTATTCATGCTGCTTTATTAGCTTCAAATGAATGGTGGTCTCAGTAGAAGAATTGATGATACCAGCATGACTAGTCATAGCATTAGCACAGATGTAGTTACATGCCATTAAATGTCATTACAACAATGGAGATATGATTGAGCCAATGAGCTGCAAACAAGCCAAAGCAAAGATAGTATGGGTTCTGACATGGTGGAAATGTGAAGCAGATGTACTCCTCTTATCCAAAACTCTGTCAGATGGCTTTATCAGCCCCAGGCCTCGGGGAACTGCCCCTTAACCCTGAACACTCCAAGAACTCTCTACCATTCGGATATTCAGACATCTGCTGGTGTACCACAATCTGAGGTAATTCACATTTTCTTTCTTTTCACCTAGTGTTGCTCAGCCTGTAGCTATGCATTTTGCTTGTGCGCAATTTTGTAAACAAAATATTATTTTTAGTCAGTGATCCATTTTAACCAATTCGATCAGATCTGATCGATTACAGGAGAAGTTCATTTCCAGAATTAATTTTTTTTCTTCAGTCGCAAATAAATTAAGTTGTTTTGAGGAAAACATTCCAGGAATTTTCTCCATGTAATGAGTGAGTGACGTGACATGTGGCCAAGTATGGTGACCCATACTTGGAATTAGTGCTCTGCATTTAACCCATCCAAAGTGCACACACACTGTGAACACACACCCGGAGCAGTGGGCAGCCATTTTTTTGCTGCGGCGCCCGGGGAGCAGTTGGGGGTTCGGTGCCTTGCTCAAGGGCACCTCAGTCGTGGTATTGAAGGTGGGAGAGAGCGCTGTACATTCACTCCCCCCACCTACAATCCCTGCCGGTACGAGACTCGAACCTGCAACCGTTGGGTTACGAGTCCGACTCTCTAACCATTAGGCCACGACTTCCCCCTTTAGTCCAAATTAATGGACTTCAGTGGTGGCCAACAGCCGAGGAGTAAGGGTCTTATCTAGCAAAATGATGTCATTTTCTTAAAAAAATTTAAATATATACACTTTTTAACCACAAATGCTTGTATTGCACTAGCTCTGCGATGCACAACTTCACACATTGCATAATCGTGTTGGAAAAGTCATGCACGTTTAGTTCTTTGTGTGTGTACTTCGGTTAAAAAAGGTAGGGTAGGGCGAAAAACTCCATCCATTTTCTCCTCCAACTTAAAAATCGTCTGACATTATTGTTTTACATTTTTTGTAAAGGCCATTTGACTTTGCACGTTCACTTTTATTACGTAATGTGTGAGATCGAGCTAGTGCAAGATGAGCATTTGTGGTTAAAAAGTATATACATTTATATTTTTCTTAGAAAATTACCAATCGTTTCACTAATAAGGGAAAATGACCAATCGTTTCCCTTATTCTTCGGCTGGGATCAGGTAGAGCCCTTTGAAGCTGCAATGATACTGCAATTTGGACCTTCAACCCATTAGCCACCATTGAAGTCCACTATATGGAGAAAAATCCTGAAATGTTTTCCTCAAAAACCTTAATTTCTTTTCGACTGAAGAAAGAAAGACATGAACATCTTCGGTGACATGGGGGTAAGAAAATTATCAGGAAATTTTCATTCTGGAAGCGAACTTCTCCTTTAATTTAACTGAATCAGTTGGAGGGGTTCTCAGTGGTTCTAAATGGGTTTCTGTGAACCCTACAGTAGGTCTGGACAGAAGTGGTTTCAGAGAAGATTAGGTGATAACTAGAGAAAAATGTGCAGTCTTCATCCATACAACATGAATATGTGCACGGTGATCTGCAACTTTTTCTCATTTGCACATTTATTATAAGGGCCTTGCAGGTAAGGAACAACTGTTATAGTGGAACCCCCACACTATCAAACTCATTACCAGGCAGAGCCCATATTCTGCTCTTAAGCCCCTACGGCCTTTGGAGTCGGATCAACTGCAGATCAGAGAGTAAGTGTCAGGGCTGCAGTCCAACGCTAATGGCAAATAGAAGGATAAGAACCATATGACGAGCCCAAAAGCCTCAGTTCTTCTGCCACACACCTGGGGAGAAGTGAAGACTCTGGTTCGTGGCTAACAGAGCCCCAGATCTGACTTCGGCACTCCAGAATGTCCATGAAACTTCACAAGGTGAGAGGACACTGGAGAATGACATCATCTGAGAGGGCTTTTGGGGTCTTAACCTTGACTACTTAATCTCACAAGTCTCCATCCAACCTAGTCCTCACATCTTTTTCACATCTTCATGTAAAAGGGCTTTTATATGTTGGACTCTTTCACAGCTTTTTTCCTTGATGGCATTTGTTTCCCTTTGCTCTTTATTATTCTCAAGACGTCCATTTCAGATTCTTTTATAGGCTGCTCAAAATGGTAATGATGTGAGATCCCAAACCGCCGACTGATTTAGAGGACTTGGAACCTGGCGGAGGAGTGCAGACTGGGTCGCACCGAGCATCCAAAGCCACAAAGGTACGCTAACTGACCCAAGCGCAAGTTTGGCCTTTGTTTATCTACAAGGTCTCCATCAGCTCTCCCTAACGTTGTTCCCCTCCGCTGCTTTCAGCACCCCTCCAGTCAGTTTATTTCTCTCCCACATCATCCTGCATGCTTCGGAAACACAGAAGCCCTCCCCTACTAAGAATTCACATTTGTGATTCTGCACGAGCTTCTGCGCTCTCTTTCTTTACCTTCCTAATTGCAGTGTTGCTCAAGACAATGATTTCAAAACAGGGCAATTAGTGTAATGTTGGTGAACGGCTGGCATATGCGGATGTTTCCTATTAAAATCATTGTTGGCTTCAGTATCCAACTCAACTACTTTCTCTCTTGGCAGTGGAACCTCTCTTGCAAATGAGCTCTGTGAAACCTTAGCCCCCACTGGATTCAAAGATGTTGTATCACTGTATGCAGAGTAAGTCCAGATGAGTTGATTCCTCAATATGGAGGCGATTGCCAGACCACTGAACTGTGGTGAAGGTCTGGTATTAAGGACCGTAGCAAGTGACTGGCTTTCACCTCTGATACTCTGAGCCAATTTGAAAGATCTCCATCGTATGAAGTCTCAACATGATATGAGGTTCCTCCAAAGCTGAGATGATTCATTATGAGGGCATAATCCAGGTCAGTCCTTTTTATTGGAGCACAGTTGACTTTATGACTTTACACAGTTTGTATACTTAGTTTCAGACTTTTTGGTTTGATAAGGTAGCATTGGGTGTGCTCCAGCATAATTTTAGACTCTAAAGTTAATCTCTGCCATCTGCGAGCCAGCAACGTCTTTGGTTGTTGCCAGGCGAAGCTTCACAAATCATGCCAGGGTACTTTGTGACTGCTGACGCAAGAGCTCAATATAAAATGCTCTTTTCCCTGCTTCACTCGATCAGAATGTGACTTAACCATTGAAGTGACACAAGCATGACATGGTCAGATGGTTAGATGAAAGGCTGAGGTGGTGGCTGCTTCCCAATATTTCCTCATAATCATAATCTGAAATTTATGTCTGCTGCGTAAGAGCAAAATCAAGAGGCCAAAATAGGTGCTGCTGTGCAGATACGCTTGAGAAAAGAATGAACTGTTGGGTGGGGGGTTCTCTTCTGCAAATCTTCATAATTACAGGTGTATTTGGTGACCAGGATTTGGGGGATATGCGTTTTTGTTTCCATGTCCACCATCTCTCAATACAGAAAATGCTAGAAACATAGAGAGGGTGCAGCCCGGATTCTTAATACAGACGAGTCGCCAGTCTCTCTCTAAAACCAACACATGGAATTCTCTCAGTCTTCTTTGATAATCCTCAGTCCTGCTCCCCCCACCGTTAACCTTTTTCTCAAAGCCTGCAGAGTAGAGGGGTGTCCTCAAAGCAAGCAGGGATCTACCATTGTCAGTCTGTAGGGGTGTTTTGATTAAGGGCGAGGTGAATGGTGGTGATTATTCGCCGTCAAGGGGAGCTTGAGCAGAAGCAGGCCAAGGCCTCGCCGTTTGTTTGCACAGGGAATATTGGTGTTTTGTCGTGGGAAAGCACAGCCTAGAAGACCGTCCTGGATTAAGACTTGGGGCTGAGGAGGCAGATAAAGTTTCTTTTGGTTAATATCCACTGTACATACCTGATAATCTCAATAATGGAAACAAAACATCCACCATAATGACCTCAGCCACAAGGCAGCCCTTAACCTGTTGAGGCTCTCCTAAACAGCCTTCATCTGCAGTCGGAGAATGCAAAGTGCAAAGGGAGCACCCAGAGTCCTCTTATTTCCACTGGCGTGTGGTGAAAGGGGGATAAGGGGTGCGTGTGGAAGTATCCATGTGCATAAGTCAGAAGGAAAGGGGCACGTCTGGGTCCAACCTGACAATGAGAGCATATGGAAGTGATCAGCTGGCTGTTGGCTGGCATGACGTCTCCCGCACAGGGGCATTTTTGAAGAAGTGATGGAGTTGGAGGTACACATATCCTGCATGGCCTGTGATGGTTTCTGAACTCAATTAGATGGGAATGGAATTCTGGGAGAGTGGAGGAAGCAATCCGCGTTCGCTCCCGGTAGTTCCCTGCAGGAGTGCTGAAGGAGGCCCACTTATGAACAAGGACACTGCTCAAGAGGTTGTGAAGAAAGTTACAGGAGAACAGCAATATGAAGAGACAACGGGGTTTGCCAGAGTTGATTGTTGATGCCAGATTTCCTATCATTCAGTTACAGTACAGTATTCAAACAAGACACGCAATCTGCAACAGTCACAGGTGTGTGAGAGACTCGGGGGGCTGTTTTGAAAATGAGATAATGTGGAAGTGTCAGGGCAACAGCAGCAGTAATCACATACTAGCAGATGGGAGTGCTCATGCTTGACTGAACAGCGTATACTGTCATCCAGCCTCACTATTAAGCTACAAAAAACCACATACCATAATCATATTGCCATCATCATTAAAAAAAGTTGGGCATTGACCTCATTTCCTCTCTAATGGTTTTCCAATTGTTTTCTGACCATCTCACTGATTGTTTGAATAGATTATCAGTGTGTTTTAGGCTCAGAGAGAAGAAAAGGCCATTGGAGCATCAAGTGCTTAACCGAGAGGTACGATTTCAAAACTTTTTGTATTGTGATAAAATGCATTCTGAAAGCATGCATGCTCTTAAGAATGGTTTTAATATTTTAGGTTTATGTACAGGAAGCATAAAAATGATATATGCTACACACATCTTACACCATCTGTTTCAACGACAGTAGCTAATCTGGCAAAAGTGCATCTGTTGTTATGTCTGGAGTGATGATGCCATGCTATAAAAGCCAATTATTATGAATATGACCATAATTGAGAGGGTTGCTGCTGAGGTCATTTCCTGTCAATACTGTGGCCCACCTCTCTGAGGGTGGTCAGTGAGAATGTGGGCCTCAGCATGTGAGCCTGTCGGGACTGTCTGGGGCCCTGATGGATCAACTCCCAAGGCAGCTCCTCATTCATCACGCGAAACAACGTTTCACAAACACACACAGGAAAATTCTCTGTTGGTGCTTAGAGGTCTGTCTTGTAATTTCTTTTGACATGTGAAATTGTCACTCATTTCATCCAAATGTTTTTTTTCCTTCTTAGCGTGTAGGAGTTCCACTATCACATCATTGACAAGCGCGTGTGTTTAGCAAAGCTGACAATGATGAATGTGAGATCAGTGGGAGGTGATACAGCATTATGCCTAATATTCTGTCAAATTCAATAACTATTTGTAGACGGAGCAACACATAAGGGAGAGAAGTTTTGGAGGCAGAACGGACGGACTGATGGATTGACGGAGATGTGGTTTTGATTAATGACCACTCATCTTTCTTATTACTGATGATGGGTGTGAAATCTTCAGGTCCTCTTTCTGGTCCTTTACGTTAACCCCATGACGGATCGCTGTCGTCCAGTTGCATTGTTCTTAACGCTCACAATAGCAACCATAAAGGGCCACAAGCACTGAATGTCACACAGCTTTAGGTGGCCTCCATAACTCACGCTAGAATCTGACGTTTGACAAATGGTGTCACAGACTCTTCGGAGAACACTACCTGTCAAACTGTGATGTGTGAAACAATCTGTAGGGACATTCACACACTGTATGAGTTTACATTCGAGATGCATCTGATTCTTGAGACTTTCCAACCTGTAGATACTTTCTATCATGTCATCGTGGTATCTTTCCTGAATTAAATCGCTGTGTTGCGTACGCGCTATAAATTTGAATTTGGCACAATCAAAACCACAGATTATTTCAAGATGAAATTGATCACCACAGTGTTTTCAAACACCTTTGAGGCATTTAATGTGTTAATGTGGAACAGATGTATGTGCATATGTGCATGAGTGAGAGAAAGAGTCTTGCTGGGTCTCACAGCAGTCTGTTTGCCAGGTCCTCACTATGTCCATCATCTCCCTACCAGTTAGTCCATCTGTAATCTAAATGGATAACTAGTTCATGCTTGCATACACACACACTCTAGCTCTGTAAAAGCCAATTTGGGAACATGCTTCATCTTTGGCACAATGGAAATTGTATGCATGACAATTCTGAGCCGAGGACGTGGTGCCATAAAAACGTCTGGATTGCATTATTTCTTCAGATATCAGAAGCACTTTCCTCAAAGTAACGGTTTATCGGTCAACCAGATGCAAGAGAATATCTCTTTACATTCGTTTAAAAATATTTAGGAAGATATTTCATGCTCGGTGTTGTATTCATCCTTCCCCAGTCTTCTGTCAGCCACATGTCAGGCTTTTGGATCATGTCTCATTTTGTAAGTCAGAAGCAGATGACCTTTTTCTCACCCTCTCTCACTGGACTGAAAGGACCCCCTAACTCTCCATCAGACACCCCTTTCACTGACTGATGGATGAATTGGGACTGGTATCCCCCCACACACCCAGATGGGCGATGTCCTGTTAGAATGGTTGGGAGGGGGTTGTACACGTGGGGTGAAACTCAAGCGGGCTAAATGAGAGATTGTCACTCATCCCAAACTCCCTCTTACCTGTCAATCATTTTGACAAATGAGAATTACATCATCAGGCATCTTGCCGGAGGGAATCCTTGGGGGTGTCACGGATTCACATGCATATGCATGTGTTTGGGTGTATGCATGTTTGTGTACTTTAGGCATCTAACCTAGTGGTTAAAGCTATTAAGAAGTTTTTTTCACACAGTATACAGCATATATTGCTAATATTATACTGTAGTATTTTTCCTAATCTTTTTGGAAGTCTCCTAAAGTGTGAAATGTATTTACTTTATATTTCTCCCTGACTGCTTGCTTTGACGTCACAGCTCAGCATAGGTGTTATAGTGAATGGTTTGGAAGTTGCACATTTTTGTGATGTCATCAGCTAATCAATATTGCATTTTCCCCCTGCAGCTCCATAGTGATTGGTCACGTGATGATCAAGTGATGAGCGAAGATGGAATATTTCATATCTCATATGGGGGTTTTGCATCAGCCAAGCAACTGCCATTGAGGTGAATGGGAACGCTAAGGAAAAACATGCTCTCGTTAAGCATGCTGATATTGAGCTTAAGCCTTTTTAAGGGCAAATAAATTTGTGTGTCATCAGTGTAAAAGTGAAATTGACACCCCATGTTTAGAAAGAACAGTACCCAAAGGAAGCATATAAAACGTGAACAAAACAGGGGCCAGAATAAAGCCCTGAGGGACTCCATAATCCAAAACAGAAACAGAAGAAGAAAAACCCATCAAGACAAACAGGAAAGAGTTATATCATTCAAATAGGACATAAACCAATTAAGAGCACAACCTTCAATACCCACATATTGTTCAAATTGTGAGATAAGAATTCATTGGTCCACAGCATCAAAGGCACAAGGCACAGAATCCCCTGAGTCAACAGACAACAAAATATCATTAAAAAAAAAACTTTTAATAAAGCTGACTCAGTACTGTGATATCAATTGATTTTAGTCAGTTTTACAAATTGACAAAAATGGCATCTAACTTAAGCCATTGAACATCATTATGCGCAGATTCACATTGTAATATTAACTTTCTTAGTATAGGAAATTATGATCCGCACTCACGAGAACAATCTTCTTTTTTCTTTTATTTTACATTCATTACTGATGGGAAAAGACACAAACGTTTCGGCTCAAAGCCTTCCTCAGTGTGTAAAGCAATTCAATCCCTCCACCCACTTTTCAAATCACTAATTATATTGACGTCAACACTAATTAGCCAATGTTCAATTGATTCAACAGATTGACGCACCAAAATAAAAAGATCAAGTAACGCAAGAGCGCAGTTCAAACGATGTTGTTAAATAATATTAACTTTGTTGAAATTAAATTTTGTATGACAATGAATGTTTTTCATCTAGTCTTTGTTAGCATTGCCAAAAAAAATGGCAGTAATTTCATTGATAACTTTATTAACACTTCTGCACTCTAATTGCAAGTATTTGACATCTAGAGTTTGATGTGCAATTTGCAAGCATTCTGGATGTCCTTGAAACACTTTCCATTCAGCATTCAAAAATGAATCTATATTGAATGTGATAGTGTATTTTGACCATTGAAATAAAAACAGAATTGTGTAACGAGAGTATGAATTATTCCAAAGTAAATCCAACTCCAGCACATTTCACACAGAAGCAAAACATGACAAAGCTAATGACCTCTGCTGTCTTCAGAATTAACAACTCTGTTGAATCAATCAGAAAATGAGTTCTTAAATATTATTCTGTCATGCTTGTCATTATTGGAGCAATCAAAATGATCAAGTTACGGTCGTTGATTAGAATATTTTTCTACACAGAGTGGGTCAATTTTCTGTTCGTGAAGCACAAGATGTTCTTATTATCTCAGTCTCCAACACGTTCAGCTTTTTTCCACTGCTCCTTTATTACTATCAGATGCTTTCTGATTGTGGTGTCTGTTCTTAAATGAGATTTAATAACATAGCAGATTTTGCCAGCTTTAAAGCACTGACCTGTGAAAGGATATCCCTTTCCATGCGCAACTACTTGTCGGTTGAGTAATCGTCTTCTCTCCAATTTCTCAACCTCTTCTTTGGTTGTTCTTTTTTCCAGTGGTGTTCAAGCATGGACGAGATAATCAAGGAGGTGCTCTGACGTTAGCTAGCCACGGGTTGGAGAGGTTGTGGATGAGAAAATCGTAAGGGAGGTAAATCTGGAGACCAAATGTTGTTTTGGTCTTGTTGTGCTTGTAAAGAGCTGAAATTACAAACATAAGAAAGCAAGACTGAGGTCAGAAATGGGAGTCCGTTGGTCTGAGCGTGAACGAGAGCGAAAAGCAGCAAGAGAAGAGAAGGATGGGAAAAGGAGAAAGTTTATTGAGATGATGCAAAGCAGTAGAGCCCAGCAGTGAGGTTCTAGACGTAAAAATCCTGTTCATTTGTCTCCATAGAAAATGTATTATTTGAAGAAATAATGTATGATTTTTTTTTTTAAATAAACCTATATGCGCTTTTTTATATGTAATAGCCAAATTCCCAGTGAAGAACTACACTACCCATAATCCTCAGGTGAGATACATTCATTTGATGCAGTCATTGTTACAATGGTAACTGGAACAGCACCAAAACAAATCAGTATTGACCACCCAATCCCATAAAATATTGCAAATGTATTTGACTCTCCAAATGTATTTGATTTTAAATTATATTGTATGTAAATATATTAATTATAGTTTTATATTGTATAACTGTTTCTGATTTGTCTAAATTTCTACACTGTAAAAAGCGATCAGTTGACTTTACATTAAAAAAAATTGAGGAAACCCGTTGCCTTAAAATTATTAAGTAAATAAACTTCATGCATAATGAATGAAATAAGTTAAGTAAACTTGACAATTCTGAGTTACACTGACAAATAACAGTTTGAAAATGTGTTGTTCACTTTTAATTGAGGAAACCCGTTGCCTTAAAATTAAGTAAATAAACTTCATGCATAATGAAAGAAATAAGTTAAGTAAACTTGACAATTCTGAGTTACACTGACAAATAACAGTTTGAAAATGTGTTGTTCACTTTTTATTTAAAGTTGAACTAATTTAAATGTATTAAATTGCAATTACTTAAAAGTGTGAATCTACTTAATTTAAAACTATTAAGTTAATATGAGATCTGTCTACTTAAACCCGTTGCCTTGAAAAAATTAAGTAACCACAACTTAATACGGGTAATTACAATTCACTTGTGACTGATTTGCTCTTATTTTATCAATTTCTGTAAAGTTGAAAATTGTAGGCTACTAATACAATTCTTGAAAGCACAAAATTGCACAAAAACATTTCTATGAAGAACTGTGAAGTCAACTCACCCTTGTTTATATATACACTCTTAAAAATAAAGGTGCTTCACGATGCCATAGAAGAACCTTTTTTGTCTAAATGGTTCTATAAGGAACCTTTAACATCTGAAGAACCTTTCTATTTCATAAAAGGTTCTTTGTGGCGAAATAAGGTTCTTCCGATTATAAAAAGGTAAGAAAGAGATGGTTCTTTAAAGAACCTTTGACTGAATGGTTCTTCTATCCAAAAATGCTTCTTCTATGGCATCGCTGTGAAGAACCT